AAGTGAGGGGAAGAGAAGGAAACAAACATTGATTAAGCGCCTATTATGTGTCAGGCATGTGCTCAGCCCTTTATAAATATTTTGTTTGATCCTCACAACAACCCTATGGAGTAGGGGCTCTTATTATCTCTCTTTTACAATTGAGGAAACTGAGGTAGACAGAGGTGGAGTGACTTGTCCAGGGTCACGTTTTTAAATAAGTGTCTCAGGTTGGATTCAAACTCAGGTCTTCCTGACTCCATGACCAGCACTCTATCCACTGCACCCAGTTGCTTCTAGATGTGAGCACAGACTTAATTGTTACAATAGTTTAGAAGAGGTCAAGTTCACTTTGGGCAGGGGTCAGTAAGAGTGGACAGAGAAGGCTCCCTGGACGAGTTTGCCAGCCTTGGGTAGGAGAGAGTTGGGTTGGAGGGAGAGGGAGGGACACCTATGAGAATTTCTACTCCCGTCTCTACCCCCAGTTGTCTATGAATTTGTACCTGGATTCACTGTTTGACAACCAATCCTGGGCTCTTCTCTCCCGGAATTCCTCCCCTGAATGGCCCCCAGAAGTTGACCCCAACAACTTATGGTTTGAGTGGTACCATCCCCAGTTTACCATCTTTGGCACCCTTGCCTTCTTCCTGGCCATGAAGGTAAGTGTCCCCACCTGTGATCCTTCAGCCTCCTTGCCCCCTTCTCTAACCTGGAATTTCTCCCCCTTAGATGCCACCTCTTCTACCTGCTTCCTTCCCCTAACAACTCTGGCTTGCTGCTGTTGAGCCTGTAGCTGGGCCAGCCTGGGTAGGCTGGTAGAGAGAGCTTGGGCCCTGGAGCCAGAGGGCCTGGGTTAGACCCCAGCTCTGACACCCAGATCCTGTGTGAAAGGAGGCAAGTCATTTTATTCTCCAGGCCTCCTTGCCTCATCTGTAGCAGGAGGGGACTGGACCTCATTCAGTAGCCTCTGAGGTTCCTACTGGCTCTCAGTCTATGATTGTAGGAGCCAATGAACTACTCAGAGACACGAGGTAGCTAGACCTCCATGTAGGTGTTGGGTCCCTTGGGAGCACCTGGCTTGGACACTCCCCTCCCCCAGCTGTCTCTATCATGGCTTACTTTTCCACCCTTCTGACAACCTTTATGCTACCAGCATCCAGCGCAAGATCATTCAGCCCCCTAACTCTCCCTCCCTCCTTCACTTCTCCTACCTGCTGGGCATCTCCCTGGAGCATGCCCTTACCCCGGGACCCTGCCTCTCCCCACAGTTTTGGATGTTGATTCTTGCCACTACAATACCCATGCCAGCTGGGTACTTCCTGCCTGTATTTGTCTATGGTGAGTCTGGAGGGCCCAGAAGTGGTTGGTACTATATCATCCTTAACTCCTATGCCCATTGTATGTGGAAGAGGTCTGGGACCTGGGAATGGGCTGCCTGCCAGATGCCCTCAAAATCATTCACTCAGTAAATCTTTGCAGAATATGTCCTGTGTGTAAGAAATGGTTCCTGCCATTATGGCAGTTACAAAAGCTAATGTGACCTTAGGTCATATTAAGGGAGGCAGAGTAGCCATGGTGAGGGAGGTGATAAGTTCCAATGCATGCTGTCCTGTGCAGACCACATCTAGAATGTCCTCTTCAGTTCGGGGCTCCACATCATAGAGAAAACATTGTAAGATGGAGCACAGGAAGAAAGCAACCAGGATGGAGAGGAGAGGATTAGAGATTATGTTATTCTAGGATTGGTTGAAAGAACTAGGCATGTTTAACTTAGAGAAAAAAAGGCTCAAAGGGACCATGATAGTTGTTTTCAGGTATTTATAGTTCTGTCACATGGAAGAAGGAAGACATTCTGCTTGGCTCCAGGAGGGAGAACTAAGCAATAGTGAGTGGAAGGTGGTTGTTGTTCAGTTGTTTTCAATTGCGTCTGACTCTTCATGACCCCATTTGGCGTTTTCTTGGCAGAGACACTGCAGTGGTTTGCCATTTTCTTCTCCAGCTCCTTTTTCAGAAGAGGAAACTGAGGCAAACAGGGTGAAGTGACTTGCCTAGGGTCACACAGCTAGTAAGTGTCAGAGGCTGGATTTGGACTCAGATCCTCCTGACTCCAGGCCCGGTGTTATACCCATTGTGCCCACCCGGAAGGGGGCACCTGGATGGAAGGTTACAGAAAGACAAATCTTAATTCAATGTAAGGAAAACTTTGTTAACAGTTGGAGAAATCCAAAAGTGGAAACTCAGGAAGTTGTGGGATCACCTTCACTGGAAGTCTTGAAGCAGAGACTGCATGGCTTCTGGTTGGGGACATTGTAGAGGGGCCTTCTGCTCAGGCACATTGGACTGGATGCCTGAGATTTGTGGAACAGAGGAGAGAATGCTGGACTTGGAAGCAGGAAGACCTAGGTATGAATCATGCCTCTGACACTTAGATGCGTGACCCAGGCTCTCATTTTCCTCATTTGTAAATAAGGGAGTTGGTTTGTAGAGACCAGCTCTAATGCTATGATCCTCCATGTGACCTTGGGCAAGTCACTTACACTTTATAGGCCTCAGTTTCCTCATCTGTAAAATGAACTCAATGACTTCCAAGGTCCCTTCTTAGTCTAACACTATGAGTCTATATTTCTGTGATTCTGAAGACTAGAGCTTCTGGGGAGTTGTCTGACTGAGGGTACTCTGCTCCATAATTTTATCTTAAGGACAGTTTGGGCACATGGAAAGACTTCAAGGCCTTTAGGGCAGTAGAGCAGATCCTGCCTCACTTCTCTCCCAACTTTTGCCAGGGGCCGGCATTGGGCGAATTTTTGGTGAGATTTTAGCTGTCATCTTCCCAGAGGGCATCAAGACAGATGATGGGGTCACCAACACCATCATCCCTGGTGCATATGCCCTGGCAGGTAAATTTCTGTGTGTGAACAAAGAACATTAACCATGCCTGAGCCTCTGGGGTAGTTTGAGGAGAGCCTACCTGTGGTCAGGTCATGATGCTAAACCTGTCCTCAGAGTCACATGAACGGGAACCAGGGGGCAGGCTCTGGTCCAAGGCCAATCTTGCTTAAGGACAAAAGTCTTTCCCAGGGTTGTCCTCTTCCCCTGGGAATGTCTCAGGCTCACCCTGACCTAGG